CCCCTTGTAAAGTTCCAGTATAGGGTAATAACACTGCTAGATTCATCTGAAGTACTATTTCTAATGCATGTTTACCCCTTGTAAAGTTCCAGTATAGGGTAATAACACTGCTAGATTCCTCTGAAATACTATTTCTAATGCATGTTTACCCCCTTGTAAAGTTCCAATATAGGGTAATAACACTGCTAGATTCCTCTGAAATACTATTTCTAATGCATGTTTACCCCCTTGTAAAGTTCCAGTATAGGGTAATAACACTGCTAGATTCCTCTGAAATTCTATTTCTAATGCATGTCTACCCCTTGTAAAGTTTCAGTATATGGTAATAACATTGCTAGATTCCTCTGAAATCCTATTTCTAATGCATGTTTACCCATTGTAAAGTTCCAATATAGGGTAATAACACTGCTAGTTTCATATAAAATCCTATTTCTAATGCATGCCTACCATTGTAAAGTTCTAGTATAAGGTAATAACACTTTCCAATGCATGTCTGTAAAGTTCCAATATAAGGTAATAACACTGCTACCTAACAGCAAATTATAGTCGACTCAAAAACCAATAGTGCATAAACAGAAAAAACACGAATATACTCAGATTCAATTGAAAAAACATACCTCAATTAATATGATAACCGAATCAAATATCACAGATTTGTAACCACAGCTCAAACCAAAACACAACCAAACCGAATCTGAAATCAATCCAAATTATAAACAAAAAGAAATTAAAATCACAATTTAAAACTCAAACGAATATCTAATACAAATTAGAACGAAATTAGAAAATCCAATAGCTTATCTCCAAATCGACAATAACAAAAATAAACATATAAAATCAAGAAGAATTGGATCTACATTTCAAATTTAAACTCCAAAACTGCAAAAATTATGAAAACTTAACCAGCAACTTAATTAATCGAACATGAAATCACCCAAATTAGACTACAATAAAATCGAATATGAATTCAAATTTTAAAAAAAAAAATCAAATACCTCAAAATCAAAGATCACAGATCAAATAGGATTTTATATTGAGCCAAGTCACCAATGCACCATGAGCCATTTCATCCTCTAAATCCGCCAAGTCATTGTCCATTTGCTCATGTTGCAAATCCTCCAAATTTTTCACAGATCCCAACATATAAAAGACGAATTAATTAGAATTAGAAGAAATAGTTACCTTACACAATCAGAATCCTTGACTTCATCATTCTTATTCTTTTAGAGAGAGAGAGAGAGAGAGAGAGTTACTTGATAACAGAGCTTAGGATTTCATCGTCAAAACTGAGGTGGAAGAACAAAAGCTGAAGAGAGATAGTTACTTGAGAACAGAGCTTAGGATTTCATCGTCAAAACTGAGGTGGAAGAACAAAAACTGAAAATTGGGGTTGAAGATGAAGATGAGAGATTGCAGGTCGTGAGTCTGATCTGGTGTTTATTAGGAAATCCAATTTCATGTTAAAAGGGTAATAAAGGTATTTCATCTTAATAATTAAATTAAAAAATATACAGCTGTTGATTTTTGGGTTTATTTTGGGTGTGTTTATATACATTAAATAGTATAGGGTTTTTTTTATAGTTTTATGTCTAGAAATGGGTATTTAACTAATTTTCTATTAAGTATACAGACCCAAATGAAAGTGCTTGCAATACAGAAATTCTAAAAAACATAAACCAGTAGACACAAGCATTACAAGACAGGAAGAACAAAATACATGTTGAATCTCAGGAGCTCATCATTTAGATCACGGTAGTTTTCTTTAACTTTAACTTTGTGTTGTTTCTAGGAAAAAACTCATCCTCAACCACAACTAACCGTACGGCTTTGTTCCTTTCACTAATTTTCTTTTGTCCCACACCCCACACATTGACATGGGCGATGGACCCAAAGAACAGTCACCAACACTGTTCAACACGTCTCTTCTTTGTATTGCGTTTTCTTGACTGCATACGACTCATCCCCTTCACTCCCATAAACGCATCAATCTTATGATGATATTGGAATTTTGATTGCGAACGCCATCATCATGCACATCCCATCATCCATCATCATGCACATCCCATCATCCACCAATAATTATTTCCCTACTCTTTCTCTGTTTTCGAGGAGGCGACTAATTTCCAAAATCTTGCTCATAAAGCACTTTTGTCTCTGCTCCCAATCCCTCTTCTTCCTTCTTTCTTCCTATATCCTCTGCTTTTTTTGCTTACTTCTTTTTCACTTTCCTTTCTTGGGTAGGTTTTTTTTCTTTTTCATCTTCATTTTCTTATTGAGTCTCTTAATTTACTGAGTGGTGAGCTTGAGGGGAGCACTTTTGTCTCTGCTCCCAATCTCTCTTCTTCCTTCCTATATCCTCTGCTTTTTTACTTCTTTTTCCTTTCCATTTCTTGGGTAGTTTTTCTTTTTCTGTTGTCATTTTCATATATAGTCTCTTAACCAACCGAGTGATGGGTGGTTAGCTCTCGGTCTCAGCCCCTAAAGAAACATGTGGGTTTCTTTCAAGTGTACATGCAGTTGAATAGCTCAGCAGCAAAGCAAAGCAAGGGAAAGCAAAACAGAGTAAAGTTATATTTCCTCACTCACTTTCTTGTTAATTCTGTAAGATTTTGTCACAAAGACCATCCATCCAGTTGATCCAAACAAAGCTGCTCTTCTTCATGAGAGATGAGATTTCTGAGCCATTCATTGCCCACTTCACAGTTCATGAAAATCTCTCACTTCCTCTCAGGTACTTAATCTTCTCTCTCACCTCTTTTAACTATAAATTGATATTGATTTCTGTTGTATTTCTTCATTCTCAAACTTTCCTTTCACTTTTTTGAGCATTTTTACTTGCTTCATCATTCCATCAACAAAAACAATGAATGTTTTAGGTATGAAAAAAAAAAACAAAAAACGAACAACAACAACAAAAAAAAAATCTGAATTTTTGTTGGAATTTGCAAAAATATAATTAATATTAGTTTTATTTTTGTTTGCTTAGTAGGCAATATAAAACCCAAATAGATTAATGAGTGACTTCAAAGGATAAATCTCTTCTTCTCTTCACACACTAACAAAAGACAATTATTAGCAATCCACAGCTACAGACAAAATTGACGTTTTAACGTCACCCTTAGTCTTAAGAATTGCTCATTATATTAATTGTAACTGTAAAGCTTTTATTTATTTATTTATTTATTTATTTTATTCGTAGATATTATAGTATTTGTGGTTTAAATTAAAAGCTAAGTGTCGCAGACAATGATTTATGGGCGTTTTGTGATCAGCTGTTTCCAGGATGATCAGTCCACCCACCATCAAGTCCATGTACTAGCAATAATGGGGTGGTTGTGGATCCATTAAGCTAGATTTGCACAAGATTCCCTATTTTCTCCAATTGTCCGTTCTGCCCCTGCTATTTTCTGCAATGGCCACCCAAGTCCTACTTCCTTCCCTCCAGTTTTTGCTAGCGGCTTTCCGGTTGACCATTTTCCTCTCTTTGCTTTTCCCGCCTTGTATGCCTCTCAAGTTTGAAACTAAGGCCCTCCTTGATTTCAAAGGGCTGCTCAAAGACCCTTTGAGCTTTCTTGATTCCTGGAATGAGACAGCGGAGTCGCCTTGCGGTTTCTTTGGAGTTACTTGCGAATCGGGGAGAGTCAATGGAATTTCTCTTGACAACAAGAACCTCTCTGGTGAGATTTCACCCTCAGTTGGTGTGCTGGACAGCCTCACCACGCTTTCGCTGCCTTTGAACAACATTACAGGAAGGCTTCCGGCGCAACTCACTCGTTGTGGCAACCTTAGAGTATTAAATCTCACCGGCAATAAAATGATGGGAAGAATCCCAGATCTTTCTGCACTTGCAAACTTGAAAATTCTTGATCTTTCAGCAAACTCCTTCTCCGCGACGTTTCCATCTTGGGTGGCGAATCTGACAGGGTTGGTTTCTCTGGGCCTTGGGGACAATGACTTTGATGAAGGTCAGATTCCTGAGGGGCTTGGAAACTTGAAGAACTTGACTTGGCTGTATCTGGTGGCTTCCCAGTTGAGAGGAGAGATTCCGGAATCTGTTTATGAAATGAAGGCATTGCGGACGTTGGGTATGTCAAAAAACAAGCTCTCTGGGAAGCTCTCTAAGTCGATTTCCAAGCTACAAAATCTACATAAGATTGAACTTTTTAATAATAATTTGACTGGAGAAATCCCAACGGAGCTTGCTAATCTCGCCCTTCTGCGCGAATTCGATATCTCTTCAAACAAATTTTATGGGAAACTGCCTTCGGTGATAGGAAATCTGAAGAATTTAGTGGTTTTTCAGTTATACGGAAACAATTTCTCTGGGGAATTTCCAGCTGGGTTTGGAGATATGGAACACCTTTCTGCAGTCTCAATTTATGGAAACAGATTTTCTGAGGAATTTCCCACAAATTTTGGCAGATTCTCACCTTTGGCAAGCATTGACATATCCGAAAATCTGTTTTCAGGTGGTTTCCCAAAGTTTCTTTGTGAACAAGGCAAGTTACAATTTTTGCTTGCTTTGGACAACAATTTTTCTGGGGAGCTGCCAGATTCTTATGCTCACTGTAAATCTCTAGAGAGATTCAGAGTCAATCAGAATCGTTTGTCTGGGAAAATTCCAACTGAGGTTTGGTCACTTCCGAACGCGAAAATTATCGATTTTAGTGATAACGACTTTAGCGGAGGGGTATCCCCCAGCATTGGGTTTTCAACCAGCTTGAATCAGTTGATATTGCAGAACAATAGATTCTCAGGTAATCTTCCACTGGAACTTGGGAAGCTGTCTACCTTGGAGAGGCTCTATTTGAGTAATAACAACTTCTCTGGTGACATACCTTCTGAAATTGGTGTGCTAAAGCAGCTGTCATCATTGCATCTTGAACAAAATTCTTTGACAGGATCAATACCATCAGAACTGGGAAATTGTGTTAGGTTGGTGGACATGAATCTTGCTTGGAATTCTTTAACTGGTAATATCCCCAGTACATTTTCACTGATAAGCTCTTTGAACTCTCTAAATCTCTCGGAAAATAAACTCACAGGTTCGATTCCAGAAAATTTGGTGAAATTGAAGCTAAGTTCTATAGATTTGTCAGGCAATCAGTTATCTGGAAGAGTACCGTCTGATCTTCTGACCATGGGAGGAGACAAAGCCTTCAATGGAAACAAGGGACTCTGCGTAGACCAATATTCCAGAAGCCGTACGAATTCTGGGATGAATATTTGCACTAAGAAGCCTAGTCAGAAAAAGGTGCTTGAAAATAAACTGGTTTTATTCTCTATTATAGCATCTGCATTGGTTGCTATTTTAGCTGGATTGCTGCTGGTCAGTTACAAGAACTTCAAGCTTGGTGAGGCTGACAGAGAAAATGATTTGGAAGGGGGGAAGGAAATAGATCCCAAATGGAAACTTGCATCTTTTCACCAATTGGAAATAGATGCAGATGAAATATGTGATCTGGAAGAAGAAAATTTGATTGGGAGTGGCAGTACAGGGAGAGTGTATCGCATAGATTTGAAGAAAGGTGGCGGTACAGTAGCTGTAAAGCAACTGTGGAAAGCAGATGGCATGAAGCTTTTGACTGCAGAGATGGACATTTTGGGAAAGATCAGGCACAGAAATATATTGAAGCTTTATGCTTGTTTAGTGAAGGGAGGATCTAGTCTTCTGGTGTTTGAGTACATGCCAAATGGTAATTTGTTTGAAGCTCTTCACAGACAGATTAAAGGTGCGCAGCCAGAATTGGATTGGTACCAGAGGTATAAGATTGCTTTGGGAGCAGCTAGGGGGATTTCTTATCTGCACCATGATTGTTCACCGCCTATAATTCATAGAGATATAAAATCAACCAATATTCTGCTCGATAATGATCATGAGCCGAAAGTTGCTGATTTTGGGGTTGCAAAGATTGCAGAGAACTCTCAGAAGGGTTCTGATTACAGCTCCTTGGCTGGCACGCATGGGTATATTGCTCCTGGTAAGTTTCAAACCTATAAAGCATATCCTGTTTCTTATTAACATCATTAATTCACGTGATTATTATATATTAATATGTTATTATTTGAAACTAATAATTTGTAATGTCATTTAGCTTTGGTATTCTTGAAGCTGTTCCTTTTTGTGACATTTTTTTACAGCTCTAGAATTTTGATCTGCTCAAAAGATCTGCATGTTGCTTTCTTTTTTCTATCTGTAATTCACTTAAGATTTTTATCTCACAATCTTGTGCTTAGAGTAAAGATTTTCAACCAATTCACTTTCAGATTTGTCCCTGTATCAAGTTGAGCTTTTAACATGGCAATATAACCTTTGTCGTACACTCACCGCTGTAATGTAAAAGAGCTTTCATTTTGATTAATTAGGTCCCCTATAGTTCAAGAATGAAAGATCTGTAGATAATCATGAACGCTTTACAAATATTGGAGTTTTATTGTTGTCCTCTTAAAACATTTCCTTGGTATCGTCTGGTTGGTACATGACACTTTACATTCACGTACTCGTGTGTCTAAGCCTCCATTCATGCTTAAAACATGAATTCTTCTTCAGCAGCAATGCAGAGTTATCAAATTATTAAGTAAGTAGATACTAATTTAGTTATCAGAATTTCAGGTAATAAATAGTTTTGCATTTAGATTCAGAGATTTGGATGCCTAACAGTAGACTTTTGGAAACAAGACATCATATGTAGTTTTGCATTCTAATTAGTATCTGGAAGAAATCCATGACTTCTTGTTTCCTTTCTTACCAGTTGGTTAGATGTCTGTCAAAATCCGCTGTATGTCCTTCTGCGTTTAAAATTGTTTCTACGAATTTGTATTCAAATTTTTTAACTGGTTTCCTTTGCAGAGCTGGCATATACTCCTAAAGTCACCGAAAAATGCGATGTATATAGCTTTGGTGTTGTGCTGCTGGAGCTAGTAACTGGTAGGAGACCGATCGAAGAGGACTACGGGGAAGGAAAAGATATTGTTTACTGGGTTTCGACTAACCTCAGTGACCGTGAAAATGTTGTTAAAATTCTAGATGATAGAGTGGCAAATGAATCTGTCCAGGATGACATGATCAAGGTCTTGAAGGTTGCTGTTCTTTGTACTACCAAGCTACCATCCTTGCGCCCTACGATGCGGGACATTATCAAGATGCTTACTGATGCTGATCCCAGCACTTTCAGGTCTCCAAAGAGCAACTCTGACAAAAATGGGAAGGATTTCTCCAGTCATGAGTTACTTATTTAGCAGTAGCTATTTCAAGGTTAAAAAGCTTCATACAAGCGTTAATTTCTTTACAAGGCTTGTGATGTGTGTAAGTGAAGAATTTAAAATAAAATGCTTATTCAATGTACTGTTAAATGTAAGATCACTATGCAATGGAAATAGACGCTTGAATTAACCAATTTTGTGGAGAAAAAGTAAATTAAAATGAAATGCGAGTACAAGCAAAACATCATCCAGAAGATTCTAAATTATTTGTCACAGAAATCAAGAGAATCAAAATGATGATAAAGTTGTTCAAGTTGAGGATGTTTCTTGCAACATTCAGATTCTGACTGACCATCACAGTTGGTAACGGCTCAAAATGAGGACGGATGTTGCTAGGCAAAGGTTGGAAGTCACTGGGAATTTTTAGATCTATCACCCAATTATTTCTCGTCAAATTTTTGCACTCAAAACTCTTCATAAAGAAGCCACCTACTGTTAGATTCGAGACAACTTCGCCACTGGACCAATTCTCTCAAGAATCTGATAAGGGCCATAGTAGCGCGGGACAACTTGTGAGGCGGTGCTCAACGGCGGTTTGGTGGTATAGCTGAAGACGCAAATAAACCCAATCCCCTATTGCAAATTCGCGTTATGTCCGGTTCTTATTAGCATACACAAGCATACGATCTTGCGCAGCTTGTAGATTAACACGGAGTTGCTTAAGTAGAGCAGCTCGGTCTTGGAGGCCGGAATCAACATCAGCCACAGCAGTCGAACTATGTATGCGAGAATAGTGGGAAGTTCCTGCCCATAAAGAGGGTCTTCTTATAATTTCTTCTATTTAATGGTATCGCCGAGCGGCTATACTTCGTAAATATAATATATTAAAACATTACAGCCGGGCGGCTGTCCTCGGATTTTCTTTAATTTCTTTTAATATATATTATAGCCGAACGGCTATACTTTGGGGTCTTTTAAAATTTCTTTTATTCAATAGTATAGCCGATCGGCTAAACTGCATAAACATAATATATTTAAAGAGTATAGCCGTTCCGCTGTCCTCGACTTTTCTTTAATTTCTTATAATAAATCGTATAGCCGAACGGCTATACGTTGGGTCTTTTTAAATTTCTTTTAATCTATAGTATAGCCGACCGGCTATACTCACAATTTTTTTTTAAAAATCGTATCGCCGCGCGGCTAAACTTCGTAATAATATATTTAAAGCGTATAGCCGATCGGCTCTACTCGGGTCTTTAATTTCTTTTAATAAATAGTATAGCCGGACGGCCATACTCTGGGTCTTTTTAAATTTCTTTTAATCAATAGTATAGCCGCCGGCTATACGGAGGTTCTTTTTTTGAATTTTTTTAAAAATAGTATAGCCGGCCGGCGAAACTGTGTAAATATAATATATTTAAAGAGTATAGCCGCCAGCTGTACTCGGGTTTTTGTAATTTCTTTTAATAAATCGTATAGCCGCACGGCTATAAGTGTAAATACCAAGGATAGCCGAGCAGCTATACCCGGTCCATTTTTATTTTTTAGTAAATAGTATAGCCGCCCGGCTATACCCGGGTTTTAATTTCTTTCAATTATTAGTATAGCCGCGCGGGCCTTTTTTTGTATTTCTTTTAATAAATAGTTATAGAGATTTTCTATTTAAACCCCACAGTTCTCTTAGTTCACCCCATGTTCTAAGTTCACCCCAATTTTTAGTTTAAATTTTTACAATTTCTAAGAAAACCCCACTATCTTCCCAAACTACCCTTAAATACACCCCAAACTGAAAAAATAAGAACTAAAAGATATTTTCTATTCAAACCCCACAATTTTCTTTGTTCCCAACAAAAAAAAACACAAACAAATGAAACCCCAAATCTGAAATTTAATACTTTCTAGAGAAAGAGAACAGTTTTACCTCTCTCCAAGAATTGTAACTGGAATTCTAACACTTGGGTATTGTTGAGTTGAGAACTTGAGAGAGAGAGAGAGAGAGAGAGAGAGAGAGTTTGTAAACAGGAAGTTGGAAGGAGGTTTCTAAAACTTAATATGAATAGTGGTGGGGTCTGTAGGGTGTGTGTATAGATGTACTAGGGTTAATTATTAAGTTGGATGACCTTTTCTGTCTTTTTACATAATAATAAAACTTACAGCTTAATGATTTAAGTATTGGGGTGAACAAAGAGAAGTGCGGGGTTTAAATAGAAAACCTCATAGTTATAAGGGTCTATTTTCTTTCGTTTTCTTGGCAGCCAAACACATAATACAGGAGAAGAGGGGAGTAGGCAGGCAGCTAGGTTAGTTTTAGTTACTAATTCTGTTTAGAGTTAGGTCTAACTCCAGAAATTGTAACAGTTGTGAGGAATTCCATATATGGTTTTTCTTTTCGTTCATCTTCTTCTTCATTTTCTTCATCACCCTGTTCGTTTCTCTCTGATCGGATACTCGCAGACACAGGCGCCAGAGGCATAATCGGAAGCATTCAGGTTTGTTATTGTGCTTAATTTCTTTTCTTCTTTATTTATAAATAAAATAAAATTGAATTTGATTGTTAGGGTTCTTGTTATAGGAGGAGAGCTGTCAAGAAATTAGATATTTCTGTTGACTCTGAGGGAGTAGGTTGAGTGTTGAACACAAATTGAAATGACCCCAAATTCTAACCCTAAACCCAAGCTTTCAACAACCACCCCATACATCCCACCGGAGCTTGTGTTCGACGTTCTTTTACGGCTTACGCCCAAGGATTTGATGTGATTCATTTGTGTTTGCGAAGCTTGGAATGCCATCACCAACGCTCCATCCAAACCAGCTCTTTTTGCTCCCTTTTAATTCATTCAAACAATCGGCGCACAAATTTCGTCTCATTCCCATTTTACGACAACGATAGCATCGCCAAGATAGCCATCAAACTTGAGCTGCCCTTGAGACACCGTCGCAGTTGTACTGACAGAGCGGGTTACTGTCATGGTTTACTATGCATTGCAAACAACAATAAAAAAGATGTTGCTTTATGGAATCCCTTCATTCAGAGGTTCAAGAGAATCTCATTCTCACTCTCTGAGATAATGGAAAGTGAAGTTGCCAGGCTTGGGTTCGGGTATGATTCTGCTACTGATGACTACAAAGTTGTTAGGATTATGGAGTTTCCTTCTAATGGTTTTTGTTCTTCTGAAGTGAAGGTTTATGGCCTAAAATCCAACTCATGGAAAAGGGTCCAGAACTTACCTTCCAATCATCGATATTTTGGTTCTTATATTCACTGTTTGAACAGTGCTCTGCATTGGCTTACCAGTCCTGATTTGGGTAACACATTCATAATTCTAACCCTTGATCTTGTGAGTGAGAAATATCACGAATTTCCCACCCCGGAGGACGTTATGCATGCTTTTCCTCTGCCGGGTTTGACTGTCTTGGGAGGCTGCTTATGTTTTATTGTTAATAATAAGGCTGAAAGTCATGTTTGGGCTATGAAGGAATATTGAGTGACAAAATCTTGGGTGATGCTTATTTTTAAAAAAAAAATTAACGAGAGCGATGTTCCTTGGATATTTGCTGTTTGCACACCTTTGAGGTTTTCAAAGAGTGGTCAAATGGTTGTTTTGAAGAATAACTATTTTGAACCTCCTGACAGCTTTGACAAGATTTCTTGGTATGATATGGAGAAAAAGAGAAGTGGACCAGTTAAAAAAGTCATGGTGTTCGGTGTGACTTTACTGCAATTATTTTTTAGGGGAATCTCCAACTTCTTGATGGCAGTGCTGTAATTGTTCAGAGGCAGCACCAAGATCCTTCTACCTCTAAGAAGAGGAAATTTGCAAATAGGCAATTCTCTTTCATGTCCATTTAAATATGCTTTTGACTTCTTTTTTTGCAATTTTGGTGTCTTTTCAAATTACAACAGTGCAGATGTCTCACGTGCTCTACTTAATTTATTCCTTTCAGTGAAGGGCATCTCGATCTGTTACTCAAAGCACTCGAAGAGGATCAAAATTAGGGAGGCAAGCTTCTGAATCCTAATCTATCTCTCAAAAGTTAGAATACTAGAATTTGTTTCTTGGATTGAACTGGGTAGACAGTTGATAATTTCTTCTTCCTCTCCTTTAATGACTTTTATCGAATGGAACTACCTTTTGTTTATTGGTAGTCCATGTTTTTGTTTTTGTCTAGCTTGTCTTATGGAGTATTTTACATTATTAGGGGGCCACTGTGCAAAGCATAGAAGTTGATAATTACATTTAGGACATGATGACTCTTTTCAACTCGGTTGCGTTGAGAAACCGAAGGAAGGAATGTTGGGTTGTTTTATTTTTTCGGTATAAGTAGTTAGGGAAATGGGGAACAAGAAAATGACAATACCACCATTGAAATGTAAGCTAATAGAATTTGTGGTTTCTTGTAAGCTTTGCACAAGCATTTTATTTCTTGATAGTTGGGTTAGCCTTACTCAAACGATCATTGATAGTCCTGGAATGTAGCGTACTTGGTTCAAGTTGGGCTAGTTTGTCAGATGTCTTGAATGTTTAATGTTTTTAGATGTCTGTTATGTTTTACATCACATCCTTTAAAGAGTTATTGAGTGTAGATTAAAATTTCCTACATGATTTATAATCTAAGTTGAGTTTCGATGTGAGGTTTAGAAAAGGACATAGAATCTGTGGCATCTAGTTCTCCTCCAATCCCATGCCCCATTCCTGCATAATTAACTGTACTTCTGAATGATGTGAAGCTATTGGTGGTGATGACAATAATGAACAATTATAATTGATAAATATTAGTAATTGAGTGCTTTCATGAAATCTTCACTATCTTCAGCTCACATGTTGTTTTGATATTATTGAGCGCTTCTGTTGATAATTTTTAAAACTGCCCGATGCACCATTCTGATATTATTGCAGGTAAGCAGAAATAATTACTGAGGAAAAAAAAAAAAAAAAAAAAAGGAGGCTTCTACATGCCGTAATGGAATGGAACTACATTGATTGATCCCTGCAATGCATATATCAAGTGCTATACAATGTTTTGCTGCTTGGTTCGACTTTTTTGAACATGGACGTTGAGATTTTTCTAGTCATTCATTACCATATGGAAAAAATACCATGTAGATTCATCACTGCTTATGTTTGTAACTTTAGTCGTTCTCTTTTTTCGTTTGTTGCCCTCTTTTCTCATCTCAGCTGTAGGTTCCCTCCTTAGTCTTCTTCCATCTCATCTCAGCCGTTTTGTGCTTTATGCGTACCTTAGGGGTTCAAACATGCAATGAGGTACATATTCGAATTCTTGAACTGCATCTGCATGGAGGAGGTGGTAGACCTTTCAATTTGATTGAAACCTTTAGTTCAGTAAGGATTGCACTTTGCAGTCTTCTAAAATTTAGTCAAGTTGTAAACCATTATTCAGCTCAAGAACGTAATTTTTCATACCTTCCGATCAGGACATGCTAATAGAATTTGTGGTTGGAGCATTTCATTTACTGGGCAGGATTATCCTTTTGATGCTTGATCCGGAGTGTCGGCAATTATATAATTTGAAACTACTTTTTATAAGTGCTTGGGATATTATAAGAGGGAAATATTTGTCTCCTTCTCTGGACTGAGTCGTCATATCATGACCTTTCTCCGTATCTAATTTCTTTGGAAGATTCGATAGTAATTCGTGTCCAATTTTCTGCAAGGTTAGTCTTTGGGATAAATATTATTTAATTTTTGAAGAGATTTTTTTATTGTAAAAAGCATTAACTATATAGATATTTTCTTGACAATATGCCAACGTTTTGTTAAAAGAAAATAGCATGAACTCCATTCGGACCTGGTGGGGCCTTTAAAGATACAATATATTTAATACAAATTTATAAATAAACCCAATCCTAGACATGTATTTATAAAAAAACCCAAGCACTATTTAAACATAGAAACACACTCAAAATCAACCACAAAGTCAACTTTTTGGATGTGTTTATAAATGGGTTTTGAGTGTGTGTAATGATGGGTTTTGGGTGTGTTTATATGTTTCAATAGTGCTTGGGTTTTTTTATAATTTCAACCCCTATTTTGGTATATATGAATTTCTTGTGTAACAAAGGGAGCTAGTTAATTTAATATTATCTTGTTCTGACATACAAAATACTAACGGATTATTATAAAAAGAATATTAAATTTCATTTTTAGAAGAGATATGATCCATACTTTTTGGGGGTCATGTCCGTGTTTTGATTCTTCCACCTTTTAGCTCAACCAGTTATGTTTGAGTTGAGCAATTTTTTTCCCTTTCCATTTAGCAATATTGAAAAAGGGAAAATCGAAGATAAAATATCGGGTGTGAAGATAAATACTCTTAATCACTTAAGTTATAAGGCCCTCGCTGGGCTAATTTTTCATAAAACGTGAGACAACACAAGCCCACAAAATCACGATCCATTTTCGAGTTCAGTTCGTTGGTGCTATTAGATTTACTTTCCTGCTTGGAGTAGTAAGCTAGTAAGTAAGATTATATAAATACGTACTTTGTAACTCAGTAGACAGTAGAAGAGAGGTCAATTAGTTTGTTCGAGTCTTTGACCCACACTCACACGCTCTCTCTCGCTCTCTCTCTCTCTCGACCTTTTATTTTCAAATGACTTGGTCTTTGGTCTTCAAAAACTCTATCAAAGTTGGAGACTCCCAAAGCGTGTAATATGGTCTTTTTCTTTGGCCACCTTCAACACGTTTAATTTGGTCTCAAAAAACCACCATTGTTCAAAAACTCCATCTCTCATTCTTCCTTCCCCATCTCTCTCTTCCTCTCCACCATGAAATTTTCTGCACCCACCAATTATTTGATAAAATTTCTCTATGGCTGCCTTTTGGTACAATAGCATCTTTCTGATCTTCAGCTTTTCCTTGGTTTCATTCTTTCCATGTTGCATTTATTCACTCTCCACTCTAGCAATCTCTGAGACTTCAAATCAAACATTAGTCTGTGCGCTCATACATCCCAACAACCAGCCTTCCTTTCTCAATTGTACTAGTTTTCCTAGTGGAATTCGAATTCCTGTCGACAAGAATGCTTCTTCTTCCTTCAGTGGTATAGTTGCTGGAGATGGGTTTTTATGCTCGTTGATGTCCCCGTCTTCTCCCCTCAATACTTCAATTTTGATTTGCTGGAGGTTCTCTGCCAATGGTACTAACATGTCCCGCAAGCGTATCTACAACGGTCCGGCTCTCAAGCAACTTGTCGCTGGAAATTCTCATGTATGCGGCCTGGTTGATGGGAGTACAAGCCCCATCGAATGCTGGCAATGGCACAGATTCAATTCAAACATGATGAATCGACCCAGCTATGACTTCTCAAGCATCGCCGTGGGAGAGAATTTTGTATGCGGGGTATCAAAAATTGGGAATGTTACTTGCTTAGGAAGCAATAGTAAAGTGGTTGGAACCGAGCCTAGCTGGAATTGCAGTGCTGTAAGTGCAGGGTTCAATCATGCTTGTGCCATCTCATCGGAGAATGGTAGTTTGCATTGTTGGGGAGATATGAAGGGTGAGAAACCACAAGGGAAATTCACATCTCTGGCCTTGGGAGAGAACCGCAGTTGTGCTCTCAGGACTAATGGAATAGTTGTTTGCTGGGGTGAAAATAACTTCAGCTTGCCTGACGCTCTGCAAGATAATTATTTCATAGCAATTGAAGCGAAACGAAGTGTCTTCTGCGGAGTTCTGTCATCTAATTTTTCCTTGTATTGCTGGGGCAACCCAATTTTTGATGCCTCAAACAATTCCATGGTGTTTGAGAGTGACGTGCAGCCAGGGCCGTGTACAAGGGAGTGCCCATCATGGAGCAATGCATTACCAGGCTACGGTAGATTTTGTGAACAAGGATATGTAGTTTGCCAACCCCATGAAGGGACCGAAGAGCCGCCTGATCAACCACCATTGGCACAGTCACCGGCACCAGAGATCGAGAAGTCCCCATCATCATCAGGGAGTAAATGGAGCAAGAAAATGGTGGCTTTTCTTGTAGTGGGGTGTGTCGGCTCCATAGCTTTCGTTTTGGTATGTTGTTTCTTGGCGTTCAAGTTTTGCAAAATTAGAGGAAGCCGCATTCATGACTCGGGCCCCTTGGAGGTGACCCAGTTACAAGGTGGGGGGCCGGTGTTGGAGAAGCGGCTGAGCCATGTGGTGAGCATGGGTGCCAATGGGGCTTCTTTGGAGGAATTTTCATTGGAAGAACTTCTAGAAGCCACTTCCAACTTCTCCGAAGAACACAAAATCGGAACTGGCAGCTATGGCTCAGTCTACTACGCCAGATTAACTGACGGCCGCCAAGTGGCCATCAAGCGCGCCGAGACCTCAGCCTCCTCCTCCTACGTCGGTGGACACGCAAGGCGCCAGGAGGACAAAGACAACGCTTTCGTCAACGAGCTCGAATCCCTCTCCCGCCTCAACCACAAGAACTTAGTCCGCTTGCTCGGCTTTTTCGAAGACACAAAAGAGCGCATTTTGGTGTACGAGTACATGAACAACGCCACTCTCCACGACCATCTCCACAAGCTCCCACACTCCCCTCTAGTCTCATGGGCCGCGCGCATCAACGTGGCACTCGACGCAGCCCGAGGCGTTGAGTACCTCCACATGTACGCAGTCCCACCAGTCATACACCGTGACATCAAGTCGTCCAACATTTTACTGGACGACACATTGCAAGCCAAGGTGTCGGACTTCGGGCTATCCTTGATGGGCCCGGAGGACGATGAGTCGCACCTCTCACTCCGGGCAGCCGGTACATTCGGGTACATGGACCCGGAGTATTACCGGCTGCAACAGCTGACGACGAAGAGTGAC